CTGACTCAGCTTTCCTCCTGCAGTCGGCATCATTGCCTCTGTTTTGTGAGGTGGAGGACTTTGTGGACTGGTGTTGGGTTAATGGGTTAATGTTGGACTGTGGGCTTGGGAAGCGTTGGGTTGGGATGTTTTCGTGATGCACACTTTCTTTACATAAGTTGCTTTACATGAGTTGCTATGGATTTGTTTCTCTAAAGTACCTAGACTAATACAGATACCAACCAAGGGCTCAATAGAAAGTAAATGTCTAGAAAAGAATGAAGGCAACGTATGTACAAGCATGCCTGATTCAATCGCTGTATGGATTGTGATAAGAATTCTGTGAGCCCTAATAAAATGCTTAAAAAAAAAGAAAACAACTACCTTCCCAATTGTTTTTGGAGATCTAACATGTACTGGTAACATTGTGCGTAGTAAGTCATCTGGGCTTCTACAAAGTCATTCAGACAGCGAAGGTGATGGGCCTGCAAAGGAAAGTTAGAGACTGTTCTCAGTGCTATAATCTACTTACAGTGACAGATGCAAAGAGGAGAGAGTACTGTGGATGAATCATCAGTATCCAATATTTTAAAAGATTGGGAGAATTAAGAGATAAAGTAAAGGTAAACATGTAAAATACTTCTTTATCCATGAAAGTGCCGCAATTTAAATATCCGTAGTAAATGATTAAAAAAAAAGTCTAGGTTTTCCCATCTCAAACATCACTGCTTTACTCTTAGCCAAGACTATTGTTTCAAACACATTCCAGTGAACTGACACTCACGTGCGTGCTGCTGATTCCCTCTAGCAGAAGTCTGGTAATCTCTGCTTGGCGATCAAATTCACTTTGAGTTATTCTTACTTCCTGTTCAGACTTAAAGAGGAATATATATTTCAGAAACTTTTAGCAGTCTTAGTCCATTTTATACATTCCTTGTAGACTCCTCCCCAACCTCCCCACCCAGCCCTCTCAACCCGAGATACAATGTTAATTCCTCAATTGTATTGTTTACTAAACTGGTGCCTGGTTTCAAGACCCCAGCCTTTCCACACTATTCATCCTAGGGAGAACTAAGTCCTGACCACATTTGCCTCAAAAGAATCTATTACTGGGAAGGTGCGATGAGTTACTCCTCTAAAAGTCTACAAAAACTATAGAGCAATCCAAGTATTTTCAGGTATCAATTCTGTTAAATTAAAAAAAAATACGATTTGACAATCTTAAGATTACCAGTTCTAAAAAGCATTAATGTAAAAAAAGAATTCTTAATTACCGTAGTGTTCTACTTGAAGTTAAAGTCTTCATTTTAAATGAAAAAGATTTACAAATGGATGCCACAGAACTCTAACCTTTTTTTTTAACCAAACACTTCCTGGTAGGAACCCAGTTCTGAGGGCCCTCAAAGAGTTTGTTGTCCTGCATCTTAAAAGCCTTTCCTCTTAATATTCTTTCAAAACTTGGTATAAAATATAGCTTAACTAGGACAATTGTTAATGAAATATGGGGATTAAAAGTTTTTCCTGAAAGTTATGGTTGATCTTTCATGGATTTCCAAGAATCTGCTACCCCAATTTTAGTGTTTGTAGATTTTTGTGGTATAAATGACTACCAGGGTTGATTTTAAGCTAGCTGGTGAAATTGGAAAGAGATGCCTATTTTAGCACACCACTGCTGGGTTCTACCCTCTGGCTGGTGAAGGAACATCACAGTTCACTGAAAATCAACGTGATCTAAAAATAAGAAATACTGGCAACCCCCGAAAAACCCAAAGCCAAACATGTTCTCAAGTCCTTAAATCCTTAGCCAGAGTTGTTTGGACTAAGTGGGGAAGAGCAACTAAAATCTCCAAGGTCACTCAAAATAGCTGGCTCATGCCACTCACCTCCCCCTGAGCAGCATCCCTGGTGATGCCGTGGCAATGACCCCCACAACTATAAGAAATAGGGGGGCTTCACAAAGTTTGTGGAAAAGTTGTATGATCTTTTAATCCTATTATTCCAGGACCTTTTAACCCCACTTAGCAAATAACCATTTCAAAGACTTCAGTATGTATACAAGGAAGGTTTGACATTTTTTCTTTTATGTCCCCTCCCCTCCCCTTCACCCTTTGGTGGTGGTAATTACCCCAGTGAACAAGTCAACAATGAGAAAGCAACAACAACAAAAGAAGAAATCAGTTCCTATAATCATTTTCAGTCCTCTGCACCAGACCTGGCAGAGGGGACTAAGAACTGCCAACTAGATTGGATTTATGGAAATAAGCTTGAATGACTCATTAAGTCAGGAGTGAAAATTAAATTTCCTCGACTGAAATCAGAATACATGATGCTTTGGTGGCAGGGCTGAAGTAAGCTTCATCTGGAAGCTGGTATGAAGCAGAAAAATGTCCCAGGAGAAGAAAAGAATCAAGGTTCTTCCTACAAAAAGCGTTAAGGAAAAGCAATCACTTCGGTGTTATGTTTGCACTCTTTACTGTTTCGCTTGGTTGACTACAAAAGGTTTTGAATAATTGAAGCAAGCATAGCTAAACAAAAATAAATTAACTTCAGAAGTAAATAAACTTCCTAAGTTCAAGAATGTGCAAGTACAATTTAATAGCCTTCAGTAGAAACAGAGACATCTACTCTGGCAATCACTGTACAAGGTAGTTGAAACAAGTAAGCTAGGTAGCATATGGAAGTGATCTGGATGAATAAAGTGAAGTGATGTAATATCTTTAAGACAATGAAACACACACACACACACACACACACACACACTCACACTTACAGGGTTTCAAAAAGTTCAGCGGAAAATGCCATTCTTGAGTTGTAATTGAATTTTTTTCATGAACTTTTAAAGTCCCTATGGAGATCATGATTTTTTAAAGACAAGTGATCAATCTTCTAAGATGAAGCAAAATTTGGTTAACTTTTAAGAAAGGTGTGTTTCAAAGCAGGATGTTTGTTTTTCCGTGTAATACGGAGTTTATATTTAGAGAAAGTTAAGTAATAATAGAAAAGAATGAATCTCATTCTTGAACAAGCTTCAGGGGATGTCCAGTGTGGTATTAAATTTGGCCCAATGTTCCAAACCATATAAATTTGTGACACATATGAGGGAGGCTTCCATTTTTCACAACATTTTGAGGCCTCCACATATGACTGACCATGATAATTAATCTGGGAGGCTAAAGAGATTTAAATCAGGCACAGTATTATTTACTCAGGGAGAAAATGATCCATTATTAGAAATATATTAATAAAAATGGTTGAGAGACAGTGGATTCAAAAGGCTGATATTCTGTCTCCCCGAAGCTCTCACTCCTGACTAAAGGTTCTAAGTAACAATTTTAAGTAAAAGATGAACGGCTTAGAATTACTACTACTGGACTAATTCAAACAGAATACGATAGTCTATTTTAAATTAGGTAGAGTTCTTCTAAGACGTAACTTCGAAAAAGGATAAAAATTTGTTAGTCTGTGACCTTGGGTATCTCGAAGCTAGAAACTTTGGTCATGCTTCTGAGATGTGAAGGGCCTTCAAAAAGTTTGTGTAAAAATGGATTTTAAAGATAAGTGGAATTTCCCTGCAACCTTTTGTCCTGCTACTCTTGATGTTATCTAGCTTATTCTATGGCTTTAAATCTTAATATATCTCAGGAATATAAAGTTAAGTATTCTTTAATTATAAAAATTAGTACAGAAAATGGAAAAATCTCCTGCAAGTCACTCTGATATAGTTTAAGACTATTACCACATAAAGTGTTGTGTAAGTTCTTCCTATTTATTATATCAAATATTTTGCCATCTTGCTGAGATGGTAAAATCGAAATCAGAAATAATTTGGTGTTTTTATATCCCAACCAAAGGGGAAAAGATCCTTGCTGTATTGTTCAAACTACGTTCTCTTTATGCTGTTTGCTCCCTTGGCATGCTAAAGGCTCAGAAAGAAATCTGAAGCCACAGTGGCACCCAAGTTAATGAGTGGCTACCACAAAAGGGATGAGAACATCAGTCTATTCCATAAAGTGAAAAAATTTAAAAGTTACAGTCTGTAAAGCTATGAATAGTCAGTGGGCACAATTACCTGCCCTCTCCACCACTGCCCTCATTTAGAAGTCAGGTCTAATGCTTAAACATGAGCATTAAATGGAGGGGAAAAAAACGATTTTGAAGACTTAAAATCTGCACTGAAGTCATACTTCTATATTCCTTAAAATCCTTAATTAATCTATTTGATTTCCCAGCCTAGAGAAGATTAGAAAATTTAACTGACAGAGGAGCTGCTCATATGGGCAATTTCTAGAAATGAAAATCTGACAACAAGGGAAGAGACAACATATTTGAAAAGCAGAAATGCTGAATACCAAAATGGATAGTCACAAAAATGACGACAGCTATAAATGAAATGAAATACCTGCTATCTCATATTTAATACAGCAGTGAAATACATTTTAAAAGCTGGTATTCTAAGGTGACTGAGAAAAATAAGTTTTGGTGCTAAGTTTAACAAATTACAGAATTACCCAGAAGGTTCTCCTGTGTGACATGTAATACATCTTTCTCTGGCGATATAGGACACAGTCTTCACTATATTCTACATTTTGTAAATGAAGGCTGTGATGGGGATAGACTCAGTAGTGGCACCATCTCCTGGCAAGGCACTGCCAAGAATATCAGTACCACACTTATCTAGGGTTCATCTGAGAAGTGCCCCGCACACCTCTGAAACACTGCTCTACTCTGTGGAGCGGCTCCTAGGCAAACATGCGCATTTCCAGAATTTCCAGATCTTTTAAGATATAGTTACACAAACTGTGGCCCCATGGTTCTTGCCCAATGGATATTAACTGAAGGGGTAACAATTAAATTCATTTCATAATTCTGATTTAATAATTTACTTACTTTTGTCACTTCCTCTGCCCAAATCTAGCCAGCATTAAAAATCAGAAAAAAATATAGATAATGAAAGAAAGTTGGAAATGAACATTTTCTACAACTTAGTATAGAAAAATGGAAATACTTTAATTCAAATGGCATATTATTCTTTTCTAGAATTATAACATAATACATATTAATAACTACATCAGGATGTTTAATATATGATGCAAGTATGCAGTGATATTAATTCAATTCATACTATCAATTTTTAGATCTTATATTCTAGAAGTTAATAAAAATACACTTTCCCAATTTGGGAACATCTAACAGCTCTAATTTACTCATCTGTAAAATCAGATGATTGTACTTTATTATTCATAATATCCTAATCTAAAATCCTAGCATTTCAGGAAATTAAAATAAAGCACATATAACTGGCACTAAAGTTTGAAACACTATTATTTTCTGGAGTAGGGAAAAGTACACTTTAAATACGATAAATCTTAAATTACTAAAGTTAACAACTTCTTATTGTAAGTAAATTTAATGTTTTTTTTTAAGTCTCGCTAATTGTTTCGGAGCCCCTTCTTGTATTAAGACAAAAGAAACTTATGATCTCTATACCAAATTATTAGCAATGACTGAATTCTTCTCACACTTTTACATTTACCTAACAGATAGGACAATGGATATAAAGGAATGCATTCTCTTGCTATCTAAGGGAAGCCCTAATTTACCAAGGGCCTCATTACAGTAGTTAAAAAACTACAATCAAAGAATTTAATAAATTCTGTGTAGCAATCCTTCCCAAGGATATTTTTCCTGTCTTTAGTTGAATAATACTAGTGTAAAAGCTGTATTAATTACACTGCAGATTCTAAGCCATTTCCACCAAAACATTTGGTATTGTCTAGAATAGAATTATAAATTTTATTGGCTAACATTTTAAAACTTTTTAGTAGGTGTAGATTTTTCTTGCTTTCTATGTTGTTAAAAAAAGTAATTTCTATTATCTCAAATATCTCTTCTACTTAAACTTAACATATGAGGGGGTACTCCCTCCCCACCAAAAAATCAGATTTTTTCCCCCCTTCAAGCTATGTAAATTTTTCCCCCTCATAAAACCACCTTATCACCTTCATAGTACTCGCCATTGCACTTAATACATTTGTCAGATCTGCGATTCCATTCTTAGAAACATTTTTCAAGCTCATCTATTTGGATGGCTGACAGCACCTCCCTTGTTTTTTCCTTCACCTCTTCTACGTGTCAAATCAGTCCTCTTCATTCATGGAAACAAAAAGAAGTCGCCCAGAGTGTGGTCAGTGAATATGGTGTATGGGGCAAGAGAGCCATGCTGTTTTTTGCCCAAACCTGGTACACTGAGAGGGCTGTGTGAGCAGGTGCATTTTCACGGCAGCAAAAAACAGAGCCCCATCTGCCATAAGTCAGGCCTTTTTTTTTTTCTTTTTTCGCTGTTTTGTTGTTGTTGTTGTAATTTGTACTTAAAAAAAACATTTTATTGGGGACTCATACAACTCTTATCACAATCCATACATCCATATGTCAAGCACATCTGTACATTTTGTTGCCATCATTCTCAAAACATTTTCTTTCTACTTGAGCCCTTGGTAACAGTTCCTTGTATTCCCCCCTTCCCCCCTCTCCGCACACTGTTATGCCTTCTTTTCAGAACCTTTAAATAGAAGCTTGATTATAACAATCTGACCAGGTGAAATTAACTCCAAATGCACTACCCCCCCCAACCCATCAAAAAAACAAATGAGCATTGTCTTGATCTTTGATTTCACTTGACGAGCTTTTTAGGGTGAGGTGACAACACCGTCTTCCACTGGCTTGACTAATGCTTGCTATTGGGGTTTGCACCATGTCTCATCACCAATAATGATCTTGGGGAAAAAAGTCGGTCACTTCAGAGCTGTTCTTTCAAAGCATGGCAGGTTTCCACGTGCTCTTCTTTCTGGTCAGTCAGAACCCCAGACACAAATTTTGTAGCGACCCTTCTCATTCCTAAGTCTCCTGTTAAAATTCGCGGAACTGAGCTCCAAAATTGTCCAGATAACGTCCCCATCTCTTCCATGGTCCACTGTCACCAGTCCCGGAGGGCAAGTGCATGAATTTTGTTGACATTTTCATCCATTTGGGAAGTTCACAGATGTCCACAACAAGGTTTGTGTGGCAGATATATAATTGTTTGTCAATGTGAGGATTAAGAGTGTAGGGGTGGAGTCTAGCTTGTCAATCAGATCATGGCCAATGAGGCCTCTGTGTGGGCATGGCCTTCTCCTGAGAATTCTTGGAAATCCAGGACTTCCTCCTTGGAGGCGGGAAACACTTCTCTCTCTCTCTGCCACTCCCTGGGAGACATTGCAGCGGACAAGACACATGGAACTACGCTAGTGCACTAAGTTGGAGAAGCCACATGGAACTAACCTGATGCAACCAGACCTCTGAAGCCGGAGAAGCCACGTAGAGACCCCTGCCAGCACTGAGATGCTTACAACACCACTGGATCCAAAGACTTCCCACCCACTGGCTTGAGATCATTCTGTATTTGGCATCCTTGCATGTGTTTTGTGAGTCTGAAGAGGACTTTATAGATTGGTATCGGACATATGGGCTAATATTGGACTTATGGACTTGATCTGGGATGTTTTCTCAATGTTCAATTGCTCTTATAAATAAATTTCTTTCTTATACACATAAATATAAATCTCTTTCTTATACACGTGTATCCATGGATTTGCTTCTCTAGTCTACCTAGAGTAACACAGTTTGTCATTAATCAACATTTTTGTGTTTTTGAAAGAGAAAACCACTCATACACTTGAGTTTTTCCCATAGTGCTGCATTTGTAAGCTGTGTCCAACACCATAACAGTTTCTGCAGCAATTTTCCTGAACAGGAAGCAAAATCTCACAGCTGGATGCTGTTGTATTAAATCAGAAATCACAAAAAATGAGGTCCAAGCAAAACTGCTTTTATGAAAAAATTCAGTGACCAGAAAGAACCTTTCCAGGTGATGCCAACTGGGTGCACTAACTCAGAGTGAGTTCCTTGATGCTCACCTAGTGGGAAAAATGTGTACTATGAAAGTTCTGCCCAATGGAGCTTTTTTTTTTGGGGGGGGGTACCCCCTTGTATATTCTAGATAATACAGAACATTTCACATTCTTGATTCTTGCCCAAGGGTATTACCACTCAGCAATTTTCTAAAGTTATAAACTGGATGGGGAATGAATCTGGCCACTACAGAATCCCTAAACTGCTAGGGTTTGTCTTGGTCCTCAAAAAATAGAATAAATTCAATCTCTGATGAATTAGGATGAAAATAAGGTAAACAATGAAGGTACTACATGTTTATTTGTAAATTTGGATTTTAAAATTCATATTTAACAGAGCCAATATACTTGACAATTTGAACATAGCTTCCTTTCTTCAAGCTCCAATATCACCTCACCCACTATTTTTTGCTAGATCTAATGAAACTATAGAGTTTGGGGTATTTTAGGTTTTAAAATACAACTAATAGCAAGAGAAGGCACTTTTTCAAGATGTATAAAACACAATAGGCCAACAAACCTTCAGCCATTTTACATGCAGGATGTTGAGCATGTAAGAGAAATTTACCATAATGTTATCTCCTTCAAGCCGAGCTGAGTTTAGTTGCTTAAGTGCAGAGGTAAGAGACAAAGAATACATTATACCAGTGAACACAAGGAAACAAGTTACTTCGGCACAATAAGGAATACACTACACAAGTATTCAATGGGCTGGGTAAAAAGTTTCTCTAAAAAAGTATACAACTAACTATAGAGTTCTACACAATTTTACATAGCAATGCCTATTTAACTCTTCTAAAGCACTCAAAAAACACACTGCTCAATTTTAAAGATGAACCTGTTAGGGAAAGTATCACTTTAAAATCTGTTGATTGAAATCGAGTGGATTCTGACTTGAATCATAAGGACTCTCTACAGGACAGAGTACAATCGCCCCTGTGGATTTCTGAGGCTGTAAATCTTTATGGGAATAGAAAGCCTCATCTTTCTTCGTGGTTTCAAACTGCAATTTACCGTTGGCAGTCCAACCCACTATGCCATGTCTATCCACAACTTTCCTATTCAAAGATCATTTCTATTTTATGAATTTATGATGCCTTCAACCACGATCTCTTTCAATCAGCCTCAGCCAGGTCTTTGCATACCCTAGAGAAATATGAAAGGCATGTCAATCTTTGTATTTCTAATAAACTTTAAATTTAAATATGTATACATATAAAAGGCTATATGATGGTGCTATAAAGTCACTCAATTTCCAGATTAAATATTTAGACCACTGTGAAAATGCTAAGTGGGCAGAGACACATACCATATATACTTGTGCATAAGCCGAGTTTTTCAGCACATTTTAATGCAGTTTTTGTGGTAAAATTAGGTGCCTCGGATGATATTCGGGTCCGCTTATACTCGAGTCTACATGGTATTTGCTACTATTTTCCATAATAACTGGATGCCAAACAACTAACAGCTCTAAACCTCTAAGTATCTGGTAGGTTTGACACCATCTGATTTTTCTTCTTCCTTTTAATGAAATTCTAAAATAATAAAACATTTATGAAAGAATAGGGTTAGGTTAATTAATATTAATTTGCAATTTAAATGTCAAAGCTATATGTTATCTTTACCTCATGCCATAAGAGTTATGATATGAGACTTGAGAAAGTTTGTGGAAAAATTCCATTGTTTTTTAATTACATTTTCTCATGAACTTTTTGAAGCCCCTTTGTATATATAAATTATTTTGAAAATAGTATTTTTGTTCACTGTGAAAAAAAATAGGTTTTTTTGTTTTGTTCAACTGGTACATTTTAAAGAAATGCTTTTGATGCTGCTGTTGTCCTTTACCAATCCTCCAACACAGCTTGGTAAAATGTAAGTTAGTAAAGAAACAATATGGAGTAGATGGAGAAATTTTTTTTACTGATGAAGGGCCACAGCATCAAAAAGCTTAATGTACCACATTATTCTGTAAACTAAGGACAGCAAACACTTCGCACTGTTTACCTATGAACTCCCCCAGCAGAGCATCTTGCATATAATGAATATTCAATAAGTATAGAATATAAAAATTCATAAACTGATAATTAAAAAAAATGCTGCATTACACACACCTTACTAGAACAGTAAGAAACCAAAAACCAAACTCACTGCCACTGACTTCATTCTGACTCATAGTGATCCCACAGGACAGGGTAGCCCACTCATTCTGACTCATAGTGATCCCACAGGGCAGGGTAGCCCGCCCCTGTGGGCTTCTAAGCCTATAACTCTCTGGGAATCGAAAGCCTCATTTTTCTCCCGCAGAGCAGCTTCTGGTTCCAAACAGCTACCTTTGGGCTCGCAGTGCAACGTGTAACCTACCTACACCACCAGGGCTCTCTGATTAGAGACTTAACTACTTTCAAGAACAATCAAACTATGGAGGTTCAGAGAAAGTAACCCTTTTAGAAGTCAAACAGGAATCAGAAAATATGTCAAATTGAGAAAAAAAGAAAAGTTAATCCAACCCCTAGTGGCTTCCCGTTTTTTCATATTCTTCAAGCACAGAGAAGTACAGAAAATACAAAAAGCATCACAAGATATAGACATGCTTATGGGGTTATACAATGATAGGCAAAAAGGGTTATATTGTTTTTCAAAGTATTTCAAACTTAAATGAGAATGTGTTTTTCTCTCTCTCAAGTACAATTTGGCTAAAGTTATTTATTTTAAACATAACATAGACATTCTAGAAAAGCTGTGTGCATATAAAATGAAATTGCTGAGTGAAGTAATTTTAAAATATTTCATTTAAATTATAAACATAAATTCACATGGAAAAACAAAAGCACCAAGCTCACTGCAATCAAGTTGATTCCAAGTCATACTGACCCTACAGGGCGGGACGCGCCTGTCCCGTGAGCTCCCAAGACTAGGACTTTTCACGGGAGTAGAAAGACTTCTCTTTCTCCGCTGGAGTGGCTCGTAGTTTCAAACTTGAAACCTTGTGGTTAGCAGCCCAACTCCTAACGACTATGCCACCAGCACAGAAAATTGTAAAGAATCTTTTCTGGATATATTATCAAAAGGAAATTCTTTTCAAAATGTTCCTTGTATTATATTTAGTTCTTACATATTTTAATTACAATAGCGAAATAACTTAGAATCACCCACGGAAGTTGCACACTGTTAAATCTGTGCTTTCTGGTACTTTCCCACACCATCGTTATCCTCTAACAGTTCTGGCTAAAAAAAAAAAAAATGTACCCAAACTTGGTCAACTAGGCACACAAAGGCAGTTGAATAAAAAACAATTCTATTCTAGTTCAAACACTTGTTTGCAAACGAACCTTGTTTATTATATTGCTTTTCTTACCTGATCATGGAATTAGTATAAAAAACAACTTATATTTTACTATAAAAATGTACTATTAGCAAATAGAAATGACCACAATTTCTAATGTAGGGTTCTCTTGGCATCTACTGTTCATTTTAAAGTTCCAATTCTGTAAACAGCCTGTTTTAAGGATATTAGGCTATTCATGATGATGTCACAATAAAATTGGGGGTAAACTTTTTGAAATTATCTATTAAAGATAGCTCTTCTTCAACAGTACATAAAGAACAAAAAAGAACTGATGCATTTGAATTACGATGTTGGCAAAAATACTCAGAATGCCATAGACTGCCAGAAGAATAGACAGATATATAACGGAAGGAGTACAGCCAGAATGCGCCTTAAAAGCAAGCATGGCGAGACTGTGCCTCAACTACTTTGGACATGTCATCATGGGAGACTAGTCCCTAGGAAACGCGGGTCAGTGCAAAGAGGGAGCTCCTCCACAGGATGGACTGACACCATTGCTGCGGGCTGCTACAACAACTGTGAGTGTGGCCCAAGACTGGACAGCATGCTCTTCTGTAGTTCACAGCGTTACTATGAGGCAGCATCAATCAATGGCATCTAACGACAAAAGAATGCTGAAGAAAAAAAAAGATATTCTGCTCCTAAAAGCTGTTGGGGTATGCTGATGAAGGACATCATAGTCCACCACAAAATTATCAGTTTAAAATTTCATAAACCAAGTCTCAACTGTTTCTATATTAATAGAGCTGCTAAAGAGTTCAACACAGTGGGTTATAAGCTCTTTAGGGGAATGCTTTTGTTTTAAAAGAACATTTTTATTGTGCATTGATTGAAGATTTACAGAGCAAATGTTTTCCATTCAACAATTCATACTTTTACTGCGTGCCACTGAACACAATCTCTACAATGTAGTATTACTTATCCCATTTCTTCCATGTGAAGTTTCCAGTTTCCATTCCTCCTTTCCTATCCCTTCCTGCCTTCTGAACTTTGTCCTGGGGCACATACTACTCTTTGGATATCAAATGGTTGATTATTCTAAGGAGTATCTATTTTCCTAGTGGTGGTGTTCAACATATAGAAGACTTCTTAACTGTTTGGCTGAAAACTGAGTTATGAGGTGAGTTCATTTCCAGACCTGAATGGTGATTAAATGTCATAGTGTTATGAGTTTAAGCAGCCTCTATCCAAACATTAAGCCTGGTTTAAGATGAATTTTTTGATTCCACATTTCCCTCCCATTTTTATCCTGGATCCTCTATTGTGATCCCTATTTCAGAGCAGTCAGCAGTGGTAGCCAGGCCCCATTTAGTTCTTACGATTGCAAGGCAGAGGAAACAGGTTTGCATGGCTCCTTAGCCCATTGGATTAGTTTTTTCCTTGCACATTTAACTTTCTTCACTACGTTTTGCTCCAGATGGAGAGAGACTGATATAGTACCTTAGACGTCCATTTGCAAGCTTTTCAGACCCCATTTGCTATTTGAAAAAGTAGAATGTAGAAAATTGTTCTGTGAACTATGCTAAACTAAATGACCTTAATGTCACTTGAGACTATGGTCTCAAGCATCCACACCCACTGACTCATTCTCTGCTAGGCAACGATTCTTGTGTGTGTGTGTGTGTGTGTGTGTGTATATGTGTATGTGTCGGGGGTGGTGGCGGCAATGATTCTTGATGGTAATGGTAGGGGACAGAAGGTAGGGAGACTACCCTGCCACTTGACAAAACATGTCCTGTAGCTCACACTATGAATTAATTTGTTATCGTCTTCTAATGAGTTCATACTTGTTTATATTGTGCTGTCTTACATTAAAAAACTCAGTGCCATCGAGCAGATTACAACCCATAGCGACCCTAGGCAGGGCTTCCATTTTTATGAGAGCACTTTTATATTTTTCTCCTGAGGAGTAGCTGATGGGTTTAAACTGTCAATATTGTGGTTAACATCTAACTCATTAATCATTCCAAGCTTTAGAATGGAGATATACACAGAACTATTAAGATATACATAAACACACCAGAGTATTTTATATATTATTTCATAATAAAGCATATACCCATTCAACTGTAACATAATATCTGAAGGTTGATTTTCTAAAAAAATAGACCAGGTTTTATTTATGCAAAACCAGTTTCCTTCCCTTCAAAATAGACCCCTGGGAGCCCAAGTTGCCACCGTTTGAATGTTTTTGGAACTACCCTTTGATAACTTCTCAGTTTGATTCACATGTGGAAAAAATAATAATCCTATCCATTTTCTAAGTTGCATACAAGTATTCTTAAACTTGACTAATTCTCATCCCGATAACTATCTTTTCGCTATTTCCAAATATATTAAACCTATCTTCATTTATCACCAGCACTGAGGACATTTAAAGAACATGACCAACTCTAGGAGCTATAATTTTTATTTCTAGCAACAGCTATTATCACTGATACAAGAATATCAACTCTTGATATGACTACCTGGTTCTCATTTCCATGGTTCTCACTTGCATGCATCTGATAAGGTTGTTTCCAAACACAAAGGACCCTAACGTGTTCTAGCAGTAGTAAGAGACTTTAAGTTGCATGGCATATTAGTAAAGAAATTTTACAAATCTTAAAAATTATTCACCCTAAAATGTTTTCTGTTAAAATAAACTACTTACTGAAGCTCTAGTATCAGCAGTTTTTGCCTTTTTCAGTCTGGTTTTTGCAGCATCCAAATCCAGTCTCTTGTTTTGTAATAGTTTCTTTTCCTTCTATAAATACAGCAATAAAAAATAAAGGGCAATGATAACTAAAATTGTATAAGAAAATACACATTTAAAATATGATTTCCATTAAATGTGTCATTTGAAAATAAATACCCATGATTATAAATTGGCTATAAAGTGACCATGGTGATTTCTGACTCCTTTTCTTAGTGAATTCAAGTTAAAACACGATGAAAACATTCATGCTAATGGGAAAGATGCCAGGTAAAGAAAAGGATATTGTTTTAATATTTTTGTCCCCCTATCCCCAGCCAAGGGACATGTGAAAATCCCCTTTTGATTGTCACATCTGGAAGAATTAATATTACTGGACCCAGTATGCTAAAGATGCTGCTGAACATCCTACAATGCAGAATAACCCTTCCAACAAAGAATTATTCTGCTCAAAATGTCAGAAGTGCCGAGGTAGAGGAATCCTGGTATTAAATCTTAGAATTTCCTCAAGTGCCTCTGGTAAAGGAAGTATGGACCTAGGGTAGGATTCCATGATACCTTATGTGGTCTACACCTCAAAGACTGGGCAGGCGATTTTAAACGGGCCATTGCACTGAATGTGCTCTGCTCCACCACAGAACTTCAAATCTATACTTAATAATGACCAGCAAGGTACCTTAGAATCCTTCCCAGGGACATTCAACTTCTGTATAGTGGGTACGTTTGTAAGAATTAAACAACAACTGTGTTTTCAGTGAAAGTCTACACACCAAATTAGATACACACTTGACAATTTCCAGCCTAACTGTTCTGTGGTATTCGTCACCTTTTCCAGGCTGTTAACATTCTCTGTAAGTGTGCTCTCTCGTTGCCCTGTCTCTGCCCTTTATCTTCTTATCTTTGCTTTAGTCTACTTGGTGTAACAACGTTTTCTCACTTTATTAATGCCCAGATAGCTTCGATACACCAAATTCCATCCTACTGTTCAGTAATCTAGTGCTTAATCATTTGCACCACCCAGGGACTCCAATAAATTTCTAGGGACACAAAAAGATAATGACTATAATATCTACAAATATATCTTCCACTTTTATTTGACTTCCGGCTACTTACTTACTGGAATAATTATACTTTCCTAGTGATTCTACACTAATAATGGTGAGGTACAAACCACACAAACAGAACCAATGGAACCAGGAGTCTTTTATTCTGGTTTACTTTTGGTGTTGAATATGCAGCTCGTTTGCTTACTTAAATTTCCAATCTACAACATCCACACAGTTCAAAGATTTCAAATTAGGCACTATGAGAACATACTAGTCATTAAAAACTATAGGCATATAAATCTAAATTATTTTAGTTTTCTTAAAAAGGGGTCAACATTTTCCACTCACCGCAATTGTTTTGTAATCACCCTCTATAAAATTTCTTAAAGGAGTGAGGAAATTTAAGGCTGACGTTTGGATCAGTTCTCTATCTGCTGTTCCAATTCGTTTTTGCGTTTCACCACATTTAATAAGGGCATTACCTGCAAAGGAACAAAACAGAAAAACAAATATGGTCTGTAAAGTACAGAAAACATAAATCTAAAGGTATACCAGTAATTTGACCTGCTTTACAGTTAGCTGTCACTTGTTACTTAAAATAAATTAAGGACATTTATTGAAAAGTATCTTAAAAATTATAAATACCAAACCATGAAAACCCATTGCTTTTTAAGTTGATTCCAACAGCGTAACTGTACACAACAGAGTAGACCTGGTCCCATAGGATTCCCAAGGCTATGATATTTTAAAGCGCAGACCGTCACACATCTTTCTTCCCCTGAGTGGCTGGTGGGTTCAACTGCCATCCTTTGGTTAGCATTCTAGTGCTTAACCACTGTACCACTGTGATAGGTAAGTTTATTGTGCCAACCTGGCCAATAAACACAAGGGATTAATAAGGTTGCAGTTTAATTGAAAGACAGGGAGATAAATGTCTTGGCGAGCCTCGCCTTTCTGTCTCTTGCACTCTGATGATTAGGACCAGTATGCGGCCGCCTTAGCTATTTCTCTGCTTCAACTTGTGAGCTACACTACCTGTGGAACACCCAATCCGTTGACCGTGTAGTTATAGTTTGAGGTTTCTTCAAGACCTGCTTCCCCACACTGCTGTGTATACATCCCTTGAGCTGGGGACTGTCGGACCCTGTCATCTGGCTGACTGTTGGTGACCTGCCCTGCTGTTTGCTTCCTGTGGCCGGACTGCCTGTACTTCTATACAGAACACTCAGCTGTCTGCTTCCTTGACTTGCACCCAGCAGCCCTC